AGCTTTTTTTCTGACCACCATTTGTAACAGGTTGTAACCAACATTCTAAAAAAGGCAAACATCCATAATTCATTTTTTGGGGATGTGGGTGTAGTTTTCTAGGCTACTTCCTGCTGATTGGGGGAACTGGTAATCTTATGGGAACCTAAAGAAAATTTAGAATTATGATCAAGTCCTGACTGGTATATCCTATGAGGCTTGACATTCTCAGTCAGCAGTCTTTGAACTGTTCTGGATGTAGAACTCAGACATGTGGGCCATCTGCTTCTATCGGAGATTTCTCGCGGGGGAGAGGGTCTTCCTTGATCAGACCTGATTTTTCTTAGCTCAGAATGAAACCACAGCCTCTCATTTCCTGTGGAAAAAAGCCAAACCTTTCTCCAAAGTAACATACCTTTTGACTTCAATTTTGAAGTCAAGGTATTTTCAAAATATCTATCTTGGATTAATTCAGCAGCATTTATAAACAAATATCTTTCAGCAGCTGTTGCTCCTTCCTCAGCATTCAAACAATTCAAAGAGAGCATAGTAACATATAGTATCCAGATTCTCTGTATGTTTTTCATCTTTACGTGGCTTTATTTTAAACTGTATTTCTTTTATTTTTATTTTTAATTTTTAGCTTTTTGAGACAGGGTTTCTCTGTGTATCTTTGTCCTGGAACTCACTCTGTAGACTAGGCTGTCTTTGAACTCAGAGAGATCTGCCTGCCTCTGCCTCCCAAGTGCCACCACACCTAACTACTCTCTTTTTTCTTTCTTTTTTATTTTAAGGAATTTATTCTTTTTCTTTTCTGTGTAAAATTTTTAAACACACTGTATACTGTTTAGAGGTTTTTTTTTTTTGTCTGAAAGTATCTTTACTGTATCTCTTTTTCTGACCCCATGATTCTTTAATTTGCTAAGCGATATGGCTATTATTAAATCCGTGGCTTTGACAGCTGGATCCAGCCTATTCCTTAGCTTTCTGAGATTCCAGCCTCATCGCAGAGGTGCTGGACAGAACCATGCTTATTGCCAGAACTCTATATAGCGTTTCAAGGTCCCTGCCACCACCAAAAACATGCGGTCAGCTTTTCATCAACACCATTTAAGTGTTTTGTGGCAGGACCTCTTATAAGAGCTGCAAGGTTTGACAACTAAAGCTGAGTGAGGAAGCCTCTCTTAAATGAGAGTGCTTGTCTCTAGCAAGCAGAGCCCACCTGAGAAAATGCTGCTGTCAATAAGCCATGCTTAACTCTATTCTTTTCTGTCAAGAATTATTTCCCAAGCTTTCTCAGGCTTTATGTGGATGCAGTTGTCCACATGGATGCCATTCTGTTGACCAAGGTTTCTATCCTGCCCAGTCCTGCAAGCTGTTTAGTCCCAAATAAGTACACCAAGGTCTACATTAATTTTAAACTAATTGGCCTAGTATCTCAGGCTCTTCTTATTAATTTACATCGTACATTAATCCATTATTCTTGTCTGTGCTGGCCACGTGCCACATTTTGCTTCCTCTGCATTTGGGTCATGACTGCAGACTGCAGAATCCTCTTCCCATTAGTTCTCTTGGAACTGAAGTTACAGACAGTTGTGAGTCATCAGGTAGCTGCTGGAAATCAAACCTGGGTCCTCTTAAAGAGCAGCCAGAGCACATACCTGCTGTGTCCCCAAGCCCTTTTCTCAAACCCATCGGCTATAGTATAAAAGATTTCAGCTTACTGGTAATAATAGAAGAGATTCAAACCTACTGGCCTTCATACAAAAGAATCACACTCATTAACTGCATGGAAAAAGCTTACAAACTTAACTACATGTAAATTAAAATAAAAATATATACCATAATTAAAGATACAGCAAATGACAAATGAATAATTACAGCTATATAACTGGTAATTGATGTTGTATCTCCACTCAAATAAAATCTATAGCTCAATAACAAAAGGACCATAAACTGACAAAAGTTAGATAATAGGCAATAAACAAGAAGGTGCTCATCTTTACTCTTAGTAAGGTATTTTATCTTAAAGGTATTTTTTTCTGCCAGATTGGTACATTTTTTAAAAAAATATATTTATTTATTTATTTATTTATTTATTTATACAATATTCTGTCTGTATGCCTGAAGGCCAGAAGAGAGCGCCAGACCTCTTTACAGATGGTTGTGAGCCACCATGTGGTTGCTGGGAATTGAACTCAGGACCTTTGGAAGAGCAGGCAATGCTCTTAACCACTGAGCCATCTCTCCAGCCCCAGATTGGTACATTTTAATATGTAATATGCTTAGTGTTGGAGGATATGATGAAATAACAGCTGGACATGGTTGTGATGACTTGTATTAATTATCTGCTGTGATACAAACCATGCTACATTTTTTTTTTTTGGCTTAGCACAACAAAGATTTATTTTCTATTTCTATAGACCAGGAATCCAGGAGCAGCATCCTCATGAGCTTTTAGTCAAGCCGTCAGCCAGGGCTGCAGTCACTGGAACTAGATGGTCCACTTGCAAGGCCACTCACATGGATGTTGGCTGTCCCTGTTCCTTATTGCCTCATGGCCAGAGATAGCAATTCCTCAAGAGCCCCATCATCCATTCTCACCTAGCAACTTCTCCCTTGAGGAAGTGATCTGAGAAAGAAAGCAAAGAAAGATGCCCTAGTGTCTCAGTCTGGACGAGACATGCTCTCACTGCCACTACTGTTTCTCACACATGAGTACAGAATGGGGAAGCACCCCACAAAGGCACAACTGCCAGGAGGCAAGGAAGGACTCATGAGCCCTTGGGGCTGACTACCAACATGCCTTTGTTGGGACTGAATGTCTGGGTATTTATTTCTGTCAGCTGGGTATAGAATGATCCAGATCCATATGATGTATATTGTGGCGTAGTGTACAAAATTGCCTTTTCCCTGTCTTGTCTGGTGCTCAGGTAGAATGGCAAAGGCACCTGGAGATCAGGTGGATATCTTTCATTCTGTGCAGACTTCCACATTGCTACTGTGTGTGGTTGATCTTAATTCTCTAAGCACAGCATCCCAGGAGATGTAGAGAGCAGGTGCAGGGCTCCCTGTGATCTAGCCTTGGGGTTTCTCCATGTCATAGATGAGCCCAAATCTAAGAGCACAATGACGGGGAGTCATGGCTTACTGTGAAGATCCATATTTAGCCCTGTCCTGGGCAGTTATGGTTGTGAGAGATGATGCTGACCTGTTGTAAACCTTCAATACATATAAAAAACATTTTGTCCTGGATTTATTTTGAATATAAAATTAATGAAATTTGTGTAGTACTAGCTTTATAATATGTGGAGGGGAATAAAGAAATTAAAAATGACATGAGATATTTTAGCTTGCAGTTTGAAGAAGAGATTTACTAAGAAGGGAGAGACAGACGATATGTTTAAAAGGAGAATCTAGATTGTTTAAACCATTGGTCTCCATCCAAGAAAATACAAAAAAAGATGATGCTGTTAGGAAAGGAGTTTAGCTGGGACCACTTTTGTGTACCTGTGGTTCCAACTACTTGGGAGGCTAAGACCAGAGAAACTAGTGAGGCCAGAAGCTAAAGGCCAGCCTAACAACATAGAATGGCCCTGTCTCAGAAAGAGTGTGTGTATATTCAAATAGAGACATTATCCATGGGGTTATTTGATGATATGATAGAAAATAGTTCCTATCGTGAAGAAACATGGTCATTGTGTGAAATTAACATGTATTCTTATGTACATAAACCCTTTGAATTCCAACTTGCCTTTCTAGGACAGTATTAAGAGTTCGATAAGCTGGGCTTGATGAAGCATGCCCATACTTCCAACACTGAGAGATGGAGGTAGGCGTTCTGTGCTGCCTTACTTCTTGTCTCAAAGGAAAGAAAGAAAAGGAGTTTGGTAAACTACAGCCAAAGGGAACTTCTTGGAGGCTTTAATCAAAAGAGTGATATAACTATAATTGTGTTTGGGAAAGATGAATTTAGCAGTGCAAGGAGTAAAAGAGGAAGGGGAGGCAGAGACTTGCCATGGCAGCATGCCAAGCTCTATGCACATCTGTGAGCTAAGTCCATAGAAGCTAGAGACGGTATGGCTTCTGATTTGAGGCTAGCCTCAAGTCTAGAACAAACCACGGGAAAAGACATGTGATAAGTCGAGAATTAGTGAATTATAACTCTCTGAGGCTATTTGAAGATAGCTGGTCTAAATTAGTGAACCTCTCAGATCGAAGTTGTTCTGTCAGAGGTGAACAATATGGCATTGGTAGGTGGTAGACCTGTAGGGCCTGGATCCTGCTCACTAACGGCTTATAATACCTTCTTATTTTCTTTGCTGCTGTATTTTACACTTTTCTTTTTGAAACAAGGTCTCATGTAGCTGAGACTAACCTTAACTCCTGATCTTCCTGCCTCTGACTTCCAAGTAGTAGGATTACAGATGTGTACCACATCTGGCCTAGTGAAGGAATTTCAAAAAAGCCTCAACAAGGAAAGTCCAGTGCTTTTTATGAAGAAATAGGTCTCATGCTTTGTGTGAAATCCATTGAAGGAGCTAACAGACACATGAGCTGATGGAAAGGTGGCAGTTAGGATGACTTTTGCAGGCTTTTGAAGGAAGAGGCTTTTACTGTTTCAGGTTTTTTCTTTTGGTCATCTTTGTTTTATGTGTATGGGTGTTTTGCTGGTATATATGTCTGTGAACCATATGTGTCCAGTGCCTGCAGAGGCCAGAAGAGGGCATTGAATACCCTGGAACCGGAGTTACAGATGGTTGTTCGCTGCTATTTAGGTGCTGGGAATTGAACCTGTCTCCTCTGGAAGAGCAGTCAGTGCTTTTAACCACCTAGCAATCTCTATAGCTCTTTGATCATGTTTCATTATTTTCCTTATAACAATATTAAATATATTGGCCTTCAAGTCTCAGTATCAAGAAGCTTATACTCAGACCGCATTGTCTCGTTTGTATCCTTGTAATACTGATTTTTTTTTTAATTGCAAGATATATGCTAAAAAAATGTTTTGTTTATTCCAGGGGCTACGTTAAGTATGAGACCAGCCCCTATTCCAATAGAGGACCCTGAATGGAGACAAACACCTCCTCCAGTCTCTGCCACACCTGGAACCTTCCGACTCCGGCGGGGGAGTAGATTTACCTGGAGAAAGGAGTGCCTAGCTGTTATGGAAAGGTACTTCTCCTATTGCTGGGAAATGCTTCCCAGACCAGTTTCATTTCCAACAAGTAATCTGAGGTTCAGATTCTAGCTCTACGAATATTATAGACTTCTAGAATGGTTGAAATAGGAGAACTCGCAAAGCTGGGGTTAGTGTTTATTGGCCTATTTGACTTACATACAATTTAATTTTGTCATCTGTAGCATAACAGTCTTTAGAGTTAATATTTTTAAATGTATATCTTTCTATTGTTTTGAAAAAACACTGTGAAGTCTTTATTTTCATCAGTGCTGAACTGTAAAGGACAGCTCTGAGACTCACTTTTCTGCAACAGGGGGATGATCTCAAAAGATGGGTCTCCAAAGGTTTAAAACTTTAACAAAACCCGATCCATATCTGGTTTCAACACTTTTTGGCAGTTTCATTTTCCCCATCTTTTATAACACATTGCTGTATTTAGTATATATTCTAATTGTCCTTTAAGTACCCTTCCACACACACTCCTTGCATAAGTGATATCTATAGGACTCTGACTTGGTGGAGAGGTTGACAGACAGGCAGCAGGGTCATTCTTACCTAATCTGACCACCAGAGTGGCATCCTGGAAAGAACACTTGATGAAGATTCAGAAGTACCAAAACCTGATCGGACTCTGATCAGGTCAGAGACGGAAACTGTATCTTCCTTGTCTCTAAAATGAAAGTGTCAGTACCAGCAATATGTTATTCAGGACGTTTGCCCTCTCTCTTTCACCTACTTCATTACAGTGTTGAAGTTCAAATGATATAAGTGAAGTGAATAGGTAGCCACAGTGGGGCTGTCAGTTATCCATGGCTGTGCATTTCTCTCTCTCTCTCTCTCTCTCTCTCTCTCTCTCTCTCTCTCTCTCTCATAACCGTGAACCTGTTTCTTCCCGATTGACTGAAGTGAGCAGGGGATACTCGTGCTCTGGAAATCTGACTGCAGCCTGCTCCTTTTCCCTCATCTGGAAGTCTGATTCTTTCTGAAAGTTTGTTTCAAATTTTCCATATAGAAGATGGGAATGAAAATTAATGTCTACCTTAAATTATTCACAGCATTATATATTTTCCTCTGATAAATTTTGATATTATTTTGTGCCTAGTATGGGTTCTAATTATACTGATAAGAGTTAGTTAAATTTTTCATTAAGATATTAAAGTGCATTTATTACACAAAGTCAATATGAGAATGGATTAAACATTGAGACCATGAAAATAGTGGATTACATTCTCTCTATGTTTTAGGAGTTGAACCTCAGGGACTCAGAGACTAGGTTTCCCTTTACGTCTAAATTTTTCTTTCAAGGTAGCAACATCTATCCATGAATCACACTGACTAATTTTAGACAAAAAGATATACAACATTTTATCTTTTTGTAAGGTTCCTGTTTAGTTCTAACATATTTTTAGTCTCAATTTTAATGAATATCTTCACCTAGGACTGAGTTTCTTCTGGCTTCATTTCATCTTAACCTGGCACAGCTAGAGAGGGTGTGGCTCAGGCCTGAGTTCTCAGAAATGCTGAAAGCCTTTCAAAGCACTGAGTATCAATTGTCTAAATGATCTGCGTCCTCCAAAAATGGAGATTTGTATTCTCAGAAGTGGAACATAAAATCTCCTGGCCTTAGAGTAGTATATCACACTTTTTGGCTAGACTGAATGTTTGAATAAATACATAGCACCGCCAAGTAAGCCTTATTCAAATATGTTGGTATAGAATAAAAGTAAAGACTATTCCATTCCTCACTCCATACAGGAAGATAAATTTCAAATCAATTAGGGAAGTGAATTCATAATACATAGAAGAAGGAAACATAGGGTGTCTCTTCACAGAAGAAATCTGGAAATGGGAGAGATGTTTCCTAACTGAGCCTCCTAATCAAAAAGCAGAAAGGAAATGATGGATAGATATAAATGGAAAGGACCGCTGGGATAAAACTAAGCAAAGTAGTAAAATCAATTGGAATAAAATATTTGCAACTTTTATCGCCCTTAGTATGTAAAGAATTCCTAAATGAGATAAGACCAACAGCTCTACAGAAAGATGGACTAGAAGAAGTGGCCCAGAAGTAATGCAGAAGCCGTTTAAGCACATACAAAAGTCCTAAAGTTATTGTCATTCTTGTTTGGGCTTTCTTGAGACAGTCTCACTTTAGCCCTGGCTAGCCTTCAACACATGGCAGTCCTCCAGTGCCAGCCTCCAGGTGCTGAATTTACAGGTGTAAACCACTGCATCCTAGCCAAGATACTAACCTTGAATTGAGTGATTCAAATTCAAACTCCATTGAGATACCATTCTTCACCTGTCACACGGGCAAAAATCACCAGGTTTGGCCAAATTTTCTCTTGATTAGGCTCTAGAGAAATCGCATTCTGATTCATTATTATGGAAATGCAAAATGGAGCAGCTTCAATGGAAGAGAGCTAGGCAGTGTCAGGGGCCATGACTAATGGATTTGCCCTTTGCAACAACATTCCTGTTTCCACAAACTTATACTGGAATATATACTGTCAAAGATATACTGACAGAGAAGAACACTGTCATCTAGTATCAGACCACTGACAACAGCCTGAATGTTGTCAGTAATGGTCTGGATGAATAAGTATAGAAATCAAAAAGACCACTGACATGACTCAGCAGGTAAAACACTTGCTGTGCAAGCCTGGCACCCTGAGTTCAATCCCCGGAACCTACATAAAGGTTGAAGGAGAGAGCCACTCCACAAAGTCATTGTATGACCTCCACACACAAGTGTAAATGCCCTTAAAACATATAAACAAAGAAAAAATAACTTTACTGAGATAGAGCTCCCTTGTTGAAAGTGTGTATTTTAAAGCCCTGAATGTATCTATGTTACGCAACTGTTGCCACATAATTAAAGTATAATTATGCCCCCAGAATCTTGGTGTCTAGCAGAAGTTATTCTCCTTTTCTCCCATCTCTTTTTAACTCTGTGTAAATATTAATCTTTGTACAAATTTACCTGCTGTGGACATTTTAATATTATAGGAAGCCAGATTAGGAGGCTGTTCGAATAATCTGGGCCTAAGTAATAAGGGCCTAAATTAGAGTAAAAAGACAAAGGAATAAGATATGGCTAGAAGGCATAGCTATCAGAAAGGAATTTGAGGAAAGACATAATGTAACTAGCTCTAGGCTGAGCATGGGAATGACAGCAGCAAAGAGAGAGTCTGCACCATTAGAAAACAGATTGGCCTTGGAAGAACCTTTCAGCATCCCTAGATCCCAGTTCTTATTATAAGATGAAGATTTAGGTGTAATGATAGAAAAAGGAAAGATAAACTTCAGAATTAGACAAGGGTTGGTTCTAGCCACTCACCCAACCCTCGTAGTGAATTGTTGGGAATGTAGGGTTTTGGTACGTTGATGAAGATGAGCATGAAGCAGTTATTGCTGAGAGTGCTTGTTTTCAGAGTCAGCCTATTCCGGCTAACAGGAACTAGGAAGTTACCTGGCGTGACTCTCAGAAAGTTGTCATGGCATTAGAAATGGGAGTGCCATCATGAAGTTATTTTTAGCTCATACCTCGGGTACAGGTGATGTCTGGTTACATCTTTCAACTTGCACAGTTTCTACATGTTTTCCCCCAGCTAAATGTAGCTAGTGGAAAAAAAAAAAAAACAACTCTTAAAACCCTGCTGATTTACCTAATTTTAAATTCATGGCCATGAACATCAAGTAGCTCTTCGGTTCTGTCAAGCACTCACTGCCTTCCTGGCTCGCCTTTTCCTCTTTCTTAAAATCATTTTACACTTTGTTTTCTCTCTGAAAACACCTCAACCTCCTTCTCTTGTGGTGACCTAATTCACATTTTACTGAGAAAAGCAAAGCACTGACAGGAGAACGTCCATGCCTGACAGCATGTGCACGCATGTGCAGAGACTGTGTGTGCGGTTTTCCTTCCCACCCAAAGCACTTGAGTGATGCATTTTCCCCACTACTTATCAGAGCGTTGTGCTTACCATAGACGGTCATGATGTTAACATTATGAATGTTGCTCTTTTTTCTCTGCTGTCCTCTTGCATTCTCTATCCTACGTACATGACTTTCCTAATAGTGACTCCCAGAAACATTGATTATCACAAGGGGCAATATTATGTGGTTCTATTTATAGAAATACCCAGAGTAGTCAACTCTGTAGAAAAAGAACATAGTTGGTATTTCCTCCGACTGGGGAAGATAGAGGCCTGGGGGTCAGGAAACAACTGAAGAGCACACTGCTTTTATGAATATAACAAAAGCACATTTCAGATATGTAAACTACTCCACAAGTGAGTCATACCTCAACAAAACATAAAAAAGGAAGGCACCATTAGGAGCATCCCCTATCTACCCTCCACAGTTGATCCCCATTGCCACCCTTTCCAAATGAGGCAGCCAAGGCTCAGGGGGCTTAGGTGACTTGCTGAGGCCATACAGTCCAGTGAACAGCTGAGTTACATGTGCCTCTCTAGACAGTGCTTATTGCATATAAGTCCTGTCCCTTGAAGAGAAAGCCATTTTCTTCTGGGTGTATACAGTGCTCTTAGTACATGAAGAAGGCCTTGGTTAGCCCTGGATTAACATACCCTTTAGCCTTCTGTTTAGCTAAGAACATATAAGGGTTTTTATAGGAAAAGATGTAGCACAAACGTTAAGAAAATAATTGATGTTGGGCCATAGGAACATGAGGAATCACAGGTTTATTCTATCTGTGTAGGTTGGTCATGTTTCTTCTTTAGAACAGTATTTGTTGTCTTAAAGAAGATTTGAGTATTTTAATAGAGAATTTAGAATGACATTATTGGATAATCTTAGATCAGTTACGTATTAAACTTTTGCTATATATTAGCACTCAGCTAGACTTACCTCAGTGGTTTGTATATTCACAAGATGGAAAACATTAACTATGTTGCACACTTGAAAGGTCTACATCTGCAGATGATATGAGACACATACTGGGATTTCCATCCCAGAAACCTGCCCTTTCACT